TAACCAGCATTGTTTACTTAGCTTTACCAACATTTTGGTCAGTCTCTTTGATTACTACCATTTGTGGTATCACACCTTCCTTCAGGGTTCATTTCACTCATTCCATTAGCAAAACTATCAAATCCTGTTGCTAAAGAAGTCTATCCCACAGCGCTAATATCAGGATTAAACGACGTTTGTTTATTTTTAAAGTGCTTTAGAAATTGCAAAACACTGTAAAAATGTAAGAGATTTATATTTTGTGCATCGAATATTTTCAGAGGGGTAATCTGGTAAAATGTAACAAAAGTTAAAAATTATCACACAAGCTCCTTAGCATAAGGAAATATTTTTAGAAATGATACAGTTGTGGAATACTGGAAACAATCCAAATGGTGAAGTCAATTGTGGTACATCAATTTGATCTAATAGCAGGGAATCTTTAAAATAACAAGTAGAGACATGAAGAAATATTAATAAACAAAGAAGACAAAAAACACATTGCATATATTCATTGATTACAGCTCCATAAAGCCGTGTTAGTAAAGATTGGAAGAAGTCGTCAAAAAAACCTGATAACTGCAAGACCATGGGGAAGAAATTTGGTGTTTATTTTTCTATAATGTTTATTCAGTAAAAAATTATTTTAAACATATGCTTGAGGATTGAAAGAATGGAGATTAGAATAAGGTCAAAAAAGGAAAGAGATACTATCATTTTACATTTAGTCACCAAAAATATTCTGTGGCCTCATGCCTAGTTGATTGATTAGAATCAGTTCATAGAAAAGTCATTTGAACCTTAAATGACTACACAGTTAGTAAAAACCACAGTTATCAGTTTTTAAAGACAGGTTGCCAATTTGGAAGCCGCTGAGTAGAGGTAAAGGTTTTAGGGCAAAAGGATGGATTTTACCCACCAGTACATCTTTTCAAAACTATTCGAATTCCTTTTTCTAAATGGTAGAAGTACTAGTAACTCTTAATTCCGAATACTGGTTGCTAATTTCTTTCTGTTCTAAAATAACATGGATTTTAAAAAATGCCATGATAGTTCACATTGGCCTCGTCTCTAGTTTAGCCTTAAGTTTTGCTCTATTTCTTTTTTTTAGGAGCCCTGTCAAAGTTGTTTCTATTCCTTCAGACTCCTTGAGTTTCCACAGTCTTCATATTAATTTGTTCAACTAATACAATCAAGTGCCGGCTTACTCATTCAGTTATTTATTCAGCAAACATTAATCGAGTGCCTACACTAGGCTGGTCCTTGACAATGAAGAGGTCAATGAAATAAAATCCTTATTCCCTAGGAGCTCACAGACTAGTGGTGAAGTCAAAAGGTTCCGAGTATACAACATTCATGGGATACGAAGTCTCTTTAATAATCACAGTAAAACAATTCTTAACTTTGTTCATTGTGCAATGTTATTTTTAATAAACCTTTTATTTTAAGTAATTTTAGATTTGCATTAAAATTGCAAAACTATTAGAGAGAGTTCCTGTGTACCCTGCCCTGAGTGTTCTCTGTTGTTCACATCAGTAGGGCACATTTGTCACACCTGAGGAACCCACACTAGGGCATGACTAGACCCCACAGTTTCTTTGGGTAGCAGGGTCCTTAATGTTACCTAGTGACCTTGTTCTATTCCTGGATCTCATCCAGGATATCACATTATATTTAGCCATCATGTCTCCTTAGGCTCTTCTGGCTGGTGACAGCTCCTCAGACTTGCTAGTTTTTGATGATCCTGACAGTTTTAAGGAGTACTGGTCTGGTATTTTGTCCTTTACTTCTCGTATGTGTAATGCTTTTCCTCCTCATTAAACAGAGCGTATGGGTTTGGGGGTCAAAGAGCACAGAGATAAAATGCCACTCTTATCGTATCATGTCAAGGGTACACGGTAGTGACATGACTTAGCACTGTTGATACTGACCTCGGTTACCAGGCTGAGGTTTGACATTTTTCTATTGCAGAATAACTCCTCTGAGGACCCTCTTTCCATACCGTTCTCTTTTAAATAGAGTTACCATGTATCCCCACTTAAGGCGGGTGATGCTCCACTTCCTCGAGGGTGGAATATCTACACAAATTACTTGGAATTCTTCTGCACAGGAGATTAAAACCATTAACTTTTGTTGGGAGTTTTACATTAATAAAGTTCCTTCAAACACATTATTTTAAGGTCTGAGAGAGTTTGCAGTCAGGTTGGGGCGATCAGACTCATAGAAGGAAAGTTAACGACCAATACAACATTATAAGAAATATAATTCTGTACAGCCATCTTCATAGCAGCCTTATTCACAAGAGCCAAAGTTTGGAGGAAACCCAAATATTCGTTGAGGACGACTAGATAAACAAATGTGGTATATTCGTACAATGGAATATTACTCTACCTTAAAAATGAAAGAAATTCTGTCACATGCTACAACATGGAGGAACCTTAAAAACATCACGCTGAGTGAAATAAACCAGTCACAAAAAGACAAATACTGTATGATTCCACTTATATGAGTTACCTAAAAAAGTCTAACTCACAGAGACAGGAGGTAGAAGCCTGGCTGCCAACAGTGGGGTGAGGGGGAATAGGGAGCTGTAGTTTCATGGGTGTAGAGTTTCAGTTCTGCAAGATGAAAAGAATTCTGAAGATGGGTCACACCACATTGTGAGTGTGCTTAACGCCACTAAACTGTACAAACGAAAATGCTTAAGATGCTAAATTTTCTTCTATGTATTTTACCACAACTTAAAACATTAAAAAACTTTTTTTGAATAGGTTTTGAACGATTACTAGTCCTCCAATAGGAATCCACAGATACAATGGAAACCAGAGGCTGCAAAATGGCACCACGTATGGTTTTTAAAAATATGCATGGCCAAAATTTAAAGATCAAGAGAATATATATAATAGTCAGGATTTCTGGCTCCTTTGAAAATCTGATGACCTGGCAACGTCAGCCCAAGTGTGTCACATAGCATCAGTCAGCTGGAGCTGAGGAGCACCTGCCACCTCAGGGAGGTCGCCCCTGCCCCAGCTTGCCATAGCCCTGCCGTCTTTGTCGCGTTAACCTTGCTCATCTCACTCATTGTCAGCCAGTGACTACACCCTCCTAACCGTCGTGAGAGGTTGGCGAGTTTTCTCCTGCTTAGTGAAGGCTGGACAGTGGCACCCCAATCCTCCATCACCCAGACTGCCCGTGCAGCCCTGTAACGGAAGTTAAAAACTCAGAGCTTGGTGTATTGACGATATTAAAATGACAAGTCACTTGGCAGTTCCTCTGAAACCTGGATCTAAGCTGGCACTTCCTCAGAGTAGCCCAAAGGAGTCCAAGGAGAACCAGAGCGAACCCTCTCCTCGGAAACGCCCTGAGGAAAGAAGGCCCCTGCCGGCACCCAGCCTGGGCTCTGACCGCACATTTTAAGAACCCCTCCATCCACCTCTACGGCGACTCCTACCTGACTCCTGAAATGAGCCAGAATCTCTCCTGCGGCCTCAAGGAAAAGGCCTTTCAGGTGTTCAAATCAGAGGCGTCTAACCAGGAGCCCCAAACTTGAGCACAAACAAGACGTGGTGCAGGAAGGCTGCCACCAAAGCCCTAAGCTACTGTCCTCCCTGTGCCGAGCTCTGCTTACACGCATGCCGAAGGCATGTCTACCCGTCAGCTGCCTCTGTCTCTCCTACAAAACTCGAGCCAGCTTTGGAAAAGGGTTCTACATCGCCATCTGTGTTTGGTACCCCCTGCCCCACGTGCTCAAGGTAGTCCTGAAGTCAGGCTTCCAGGCCACCCACACGGACCACTTTGGGACGCTTACTGAAACCCTCCATTAAAAGCAAAGGGCTTACAGCTCCCTTATGTGTGCTCAGGCCCCGCTGGAAGGAAGTGTGTGGTTTCGAAGGGGCCTCGTTGGCTCCCTTCCAGGACTACAAGTCTGAGCCTAAAGAACACAAGGCTGATCCCCCTGGTCATGTCCACCAGCCCAGGATGCAAAAGGACACCCCCACCCTTGTCAGACAGGTAGGAGAGGCCATACCTGTACGGTATGTGGCTGTGATGGATCCTTACCGGTCACCTTTCCAGCATCCATATCCCTTTTATCACTACGTAGGACCCCACGTTTCTTAGGTATGCTACTTGGGTGGGATGAAGGCAACCTTCAGCTCCAGGAAGAGCCAGCCAGTAATATCCTATACCCCTGGCCACCGTTCAAAGGTGAACATGTGATCCCTTGTTGCAAGGAGGCTGAATTCTAGGACTTTTGAAGGATCAATCAGAAAAGCACACTTTGCTTTCTCCTGCTGTGCATGAACAGGATACATATTGATCTGTGAGTTTTGACATCATCTTCGGACCACCGTGGGAGAGCTGCCTGAGAATGGAGTCATATAACCATTTGGTTACATGAGCTAATAAAGTTCCTGTTTGGCTTTGACCAGTTTGGGTTTGGTGTTTGGTTACTGACAACACAAAGGGTCCTGATGAAGACCCCAGTGCACCCAGCTTGACCCCGCTCAGTTTTGGTCGTTTCTGCTCTAATTACCATCTTCCCACCGATATTGTCAGCTTCTTGTAAAGAAAATCAATCTAATAACAATCGTGATAGAATTGAGTAGACCTGAAAAAAAGGTTCTCAATATTTGTGTATTTTAGCATAAAATTATATTTAGTGGTTTATGTCATACTTCTCTTTTTTAATGTGTATCTTTTAAGAGGAAATTCAGTCTTCTGATTTTAAGAAATGCAAATGTGGGGCAATGATATATCAACCCAAAGGTTTTCTTCTGTACTAGAAAATGTTTTTGAAAGGGGGAAAACAGGGATTTTTATTATTGAAAGATAAAAATGAATTTTTTTTTAAGATAGAAGGCATTGGAAACATTTGGTTTCACTCTATGCCATTATTAGACAATCTCTATCTGATTGATGGAAATTATTCATTTCCTCAAAGAGAGAGAGAATAAATTGGTTGGGGATACAGTCTCGTACAAGGCATTTTGCACACGGCAACTGCTGCACATTTCAGAGCCATGAGAATGCTCCTGCATTTGAGCCTCCTCGCTCTCGGAGCTGCCTCCACGTGGGCTATGGCCGAGAAGAGTCCCATGGCAAAGCTGGTGGCAGAGACCATGGCACTGCTCTCCACTCACCAGGCTGTGCTGATAGGCGATGGGGTAATTTTTCCTTTCTGAGTCCTATAGCCTTTAAAAGGCATCAGTGATCACTGGTGTGGTTAATTTTTAAAGATCTGTTATGAATAATGAAGTTATGAATGTTCGTAATAGATCATTGGTAATCCCTTCACAATTGTTTTATTCAGTCAGGAATGTGCGAGTGCTTTGAAAATGACTGTATTTCCTTTTCTTTTCAGAACCTGATGATTCCTACTCCTGGACACGAAGACGTAAGTTAAAGTCTGATTGCTTGAATAAGTAAATCGCATGTTCTAGGCTATAAAGCAATAGTTATCATTGGAACTGTTTTATGTCTTATATTCTGTTTTTATGTGTGTGATGTGAATGTTTAAACTTAAAAATATCAGGAATGGCTTTGCAACAAGTAGAATCCATAAAACAAGCAGGTCAGGACTTTGGGGAGGCTATCGGATAACAGGTGCCTCTCGGTCCATTTCGGCTCTGGCCACCTGTTGCCTTCCTCACTTTAATGTCTTTTGGAAAGTGTTAGCCACTCAGGGTAATATTTTTAGAATCATGCTCAATACACATTGAAATATACAATGAATGCTCTATATTTGCAGTCATTTCCACATTTTAAAAATGATCATGACATGTAATGGAATGATATACGTTTGGAATATGTCATGGTCATACTAAAATGTAAAATAGATGACTTCATTAATCTAAATAGAATAAAATTACCAGGTAGAACTATCAAAAGAAACTCTGGTGTGAGGTCAGTCAGCAATGTATTTGCATTACACTTCCTAAACATCTTATTTTTGGTTCAGTACTTAGTTTTTATATCATTTGCAAAACTCCTCAGTAACTATATAGACCTTGCCTACTTTTAGAAATTATACCTCAGTGTGGACTTGTTGCTGCCTAGAAACAGAGCAAGTAAAAAACTCCATGTGGAAGGGAATATATGTAAACACTACAAACCATAGTCCAGCTTTAGGGGCCAAGTTTTTATACCTTGATTTGATCTCTTACATTTTTTTCAACCTTCCTCATTCAGCACCAGTTGTGCATTGAAGAAGTCTTTCAGGGGATAGAGATACTGAAGAACGAAACTGCACAAGGGCACGCCGTGGAAAAACTCTTCCAAAACTTGTCTTCGATCAAAGAATACATAGACCACCAAAGGGTAAGTTAAAACATTGACTGGAAATTTCAGTATATTTGTCTGGCTGTGCCTATTTTGACAGGAATTGACAGGCTCCTGCAATACCTCTCGTCTGCTCTTTTTCACAGAAAAATAAGTGTGAAGGGGAACGATGGAGAGTAAAAAAATTCCTGGAGTACCTGCACAGGTTTCTTGCTGTGATGAACACCGAGTGGACAAGTGGAAAGTAGAGACTAAGCTGGCTTCTCGTAGCGAAGGATTTTGGAGGAGGAGAAGGATGTTTTCTTACCACAAACAGAAGGGTCGACCAAGGGTAGGGCCTTCATGTTAAATGTAATTAAACTTCCGAGGCAAAGTATCAGTAATTTCAGGCATACTGCTACTTCACTACCTCACTTAGGCAGAAAGCATAAAACTAAAATATTTGAGACATGTTTCAGAAATAGGAATCATAGAAGTATTTTCCTCCAGTTTGCTCCAGGCAAAATAAATATATATTTTTTATCTTATTTAATGAAACATTCTGTAAAAATGTCTGTTAACTTAATTTTATTTATGAAATGGTTAAGAATTTGGGAAATTACTATTTATTTCATGTCGCGCTGTGTTCCAATAAAACAAAAAGAGACAACTCTGGTTTGGTTGGCTGCTGACCTTTTTTCTGCTCCTGAAGTGAGCGCTGTGTGTGTGGGAACGGGCTGAGCGCGGGGCGGGGGGCGCGGGGGCGCTGCACGCGTGCCTGCCCAGCTCCCCCGTTGCCCTGGCAGCAGAAGCCCAGGGTTGCTGGGCAGGCCACAGCAGGACTTGGCGGGGATGTGGGCAGCGCGAACACCGGCAGGGACTGAGCCTGGTTTCCTCTCCACGATTTACCCAGAACCCAGGAAGATGCAGGTTACATGGTAGGTGATGAAGGAAGGAAGGAAGGAAGGAATAGGCCTTCAAGGACTGGCCATAGAATTAAATTAGTTTCAAGGCTTCCTTTGTGAGGAGGACAGTAGGAGAGTGTAAGACTCTGTAACTAGGTCTCACCTCAGCCTATGAGGAGAATTTGACAGGCCGATCCCACTGCTGGGTCAGCGAAAGAGCCAGAAACCCTCTTGGTGGAGCCCAGAGCTGGGGGCCTGCGGGAGCCGCTCTTCACGTCGCCTGGCACTGGGCCTCACAGGAGGGGCAGAGGAGCGCCAGCACAGCGACGCCAGGGAGGCCGGTTCTAAAGGTCCCTACCAACCTGCATCCTGGGTCGCAGAGGGAACCTGGGCAGAACAACACTCTCTCTGCCCACTCGTGACTCTCTGTACTATAACTGGAGGTCCTTCTGCCTGAGAAAAGTTCTCAAGGATCCAGAAAATAGATTCTTTACAATATACTCAAAATTTTAAAACTGAGACCTGGAGGAGGGACCCAGTAATGAATATTTAGCTACGCCACCAATTTCTTCACTCCATTACCGATTGCGTGCGGGGACACAGTGCGGGCATGTGCGGAAGGTCCTTACAGGCAGAGCCATGGCCCTGAGCATCATCTGCGTGGATTGCATGTGACGTGCTTGACTGCTTGTGTGGCACAACCTCTCCTGCTGTTTCTGGGCATGGGAGAGGGGCCAGAGCAGTCCAAGCAGATTCCCAGGCAGGAGAATGCAAGTCCTCCTGTGTGAGAAGGTGTTTTCCTTCCTGCACAAACTCAGCACTCTTCCCCCGCCCAGGGCCCCCACCGGTGACCCCACCAAGCCACACGTGCTGGAGCTGAGTCAATGCAGAGGAACATGGGTCAGCACAGCCTACGCTGACTGCTCTAGAAACTGACAGGAAACTCCATGTGTGCAGGAAATGAATGTCAATCTAATTCAATTCAACCAATGTTTATTGAGCCCCCACATGTGCGAGGACTATTCTAGGGACTGGGATCCATCAGTGCATACAACAGACAAAATTCCCTGCCCTTATAGAGTGACATTCTCTCTCAAAAAAGGTCACCTTCCCCTTTCTTTATGAAGGTGAAATATAATTCATGTGGATTTAAGACTGTAATATCCTATCTAAAGTCTCACTGATGAACTCTAAACAATCTGCCAGGTCTCAGAGACGCTAAAAGCAATCAGCGCCATTTGCAACAAACCAAAATGGAAGATATTAGACGTACCAAGGGCTTTTAAGGCAGAAACTACGATTCTCCAGATGGTTCAATCTTCCCTATGGAAGCAAAGCCACCCGGATGGTCCCTGGCCAGAGGGGGTGGGGCTTCTGCCTCTCACCCAGACTTGGCCACTGTGGGGGTCATCAGGGGAGAGGGATTTGGTGGCCTCCAAGTTACAGGAATACTTTCCTGGGTCTTGCTTGTCCTTCCCAAAGCTTATCCCCAATAACAGAGCTTCTATTTTCACTCCATCTCAGCGATTACTATTATTTCCAGTGGTGGGGAGCCAGTGTGGGCCAGTAGGCTAGATTTTGAGGGACCTCAGCAGAGAACACCTCAACATGATGCATCCAAAGCCAAAGTCCTTCTTTGTCCGCCATCTTTATTCCCTGAAACCTGCCCTATTGCTCCTCCTTCTCCTCCCTCCCCCTCTTCCTCCGAGGTTCCCCACTGTGGCTCATCCGACCCTATTTTTCTCCCCATCGCCTTTCTGACCACCTCCCTGACTTCTCCCCTGTGCCCTCCCATGCAGCATTCAGCCTCTAAAGTGTCCCCCAATTCCCTGTCTCCACCCCACTGCCTCCCACCTAGACTCAGCCGTTACCAGCTCCCTGCCTCTGGCTCTCCGCAACCGTGTAAGTCAGGGCTGCTGATAGAACACACTCAGGTCTCCATGTCACTGCTGTCCCTGGCTCAGTGCTACCTCAGGTCCAGGCTCCTTCACAGGTCATTCCTCAGCCTCCTCTCAGCCCTGCAGAAGTATTGGCATCATTGTCTTAACACTGCTTGCAAGAAAATGCTAGCCAGGAGCCTCATTCCCACAGCTTTACATGGGAGCATTTCTAGTGCATTACCTCTCAATGGAAAGTCCTCGGCCAATTTCCCAAAATGCAAAACACAGTAAAATACCAGTAACAAGCAATAAGCTAACATGTTAGGTTGTAAAATATTTTTGGCATTTACATATTTATTTAGTAAACTGTGGTAAAGTAAGGATGTAAAATATTTAAAGCCGTGCTCTCTGATCATTAACAGGACTGGATCGTTAACAGGACTGCTTTGTCTTACAGCATGCCACAGGGCTCCGTAGCTGACCTTCAGAGCCTTTCCAATTGTCCTCTGTGACCTTTGCTGCGTTATCAATGACATTTGGAGTGAACCTAAAAACCTTCTCAGCTGAGCTCCCTCCCATCACTTTGTTTAAAAAAAAAATGCATCAAGTTTGGGGGACATAAATATAACCTTTTTCCTATATAACTACTACTAGACAGACATTGCATTCAAAGACACGTATTCAGTATGTTCTATGAAGAAAAGTTCTAGGGGGAAAGTATTCACTGGGAAGATGTTCTGCAGGGAGTGCTAGGTCTTATCCTTCCTGAAACGCCCCATGACCTTTCACATCTGCGTGCCTTTGCCCTCACTGACAGTACCTCAGCCTTCCCCGTGATGTTTTCATTCGTTTTTCTCCCTTGACTCTCGCTGAAACGAGCCCTCGTTCACTCTTTCCCTGCCTAGTCCGGCAGCATCAGCGGCTCCTTTCTGAGTGGCCTGCATTGCTTTGGACATTTCTCTAACAGAGCCCTTGTTTTTACCCGTCAGCGTTTGCAGATGCATCTTACACATCTCTGCACGTGTTTCGGTCTGAGTAGCCCAGGTGGCGCTGCAGAACTGATCGCCCCTGGATCCCAAGGGTGGGACACAACAAAGGTTTTTCTTAATCACACAGCGTCCACTGTGGATGTGGGCCTAAGCAGCCCTTATGGTGCTTTTGCAATTCCCTTGGCAGAGAACAAGAGTCACAGAAAATCACACATCTGTTCTTAAATACTTCCACTCACATCACATTAGTTAGAGCAACAACACTCCCATGTGCCTGGAAAGAGAGGATGGCGAGAACCCCTGAAGAGCGGCGCTAATATCCAACGCAACAGACCCTCAACCCATGTTCTCAGCGTCCGGGTCTTTGCCGAGGGAGCGGGCACGGTCACTTACCAACCACTGCTCTGGAGTAGGATTTTCATCGACGCTTTATGTCAGCATCTCAATTACTTCTCATTACCACACAATGGGAGATAACATTATTTCTTTTTTATGGTATGGAAACAAAGGCTCAGAGAGTTTAAATTACTGGCCCAGGTCACACAGTTACTACAGTGGGACTCGAACCCTGATATGTCTCGTTCCAAACCTCTTGTAATTTCTGAAGAAGACTTATTCTCTTGGCCTTAAGAAATCAGTGAAGTAGGTGAAACGGCTGACGAGCAGATCCAAGCCAGGTGACTGTGGGGTCCCCAGTGCAGTGGGTGGCACGTGAGTTTCTACAAGAGAAGAAATGAGGGAGAGCCGGGGCGGAGGAACATAGAGGACACTTCTCTACAGGGTTCACCAGATTGTGAGGTCTGTTTTCTTCCACACTGTTCCCCTGACTTGGTGAGTAAGGAGAGGCCGCAACACCTGAAACTAATATAATATTACGTTTGAACTATAATTGAAAAATAAAAAAAATTTTTTTAAGAAAGAAGAGGAACTTAATTCAGGTCCATAAAACAGCCTGCGGAGACAGGAAACTCATTCAATTCCCCTGTGGCCACTGTCCCCATATTTTACTCAGCTCTGTAGCCAGTGCTGTGGTGGTTACCAGGAACCAAGGAAGCTTGCTTTCCGCAAGAACAGACCTTGTGCCTTTCTGAAACAAGCCAGCGAGAGCCAGCATCGCAATGCCTTCAATGTGAAGTGCTCACGGCTGTGGCCACAACACTGACAACTGGTTCCCCATAAACTCAACCATTCTCACGCCATTGGACCAAATGTGAGTCCTACTAAACCAGCAACCAAGTGGTACACCACAGGGACTCAGCAACCCCAGCAGGTGCTTGCTAAGCAATCTTCCTCCAAACAGTTTTACCCAGAGTCAAGTACAGAAGCCAAAGAAAATTCCACGTGACTAGCTACCTCTGAGCAGAGAAATCAATGCTCAGAGCCTGGAAATGGCCCCACCCCCTTCCTTCCTCTCAATACTAAGCAAGATTTGCTCCAAGACAAGGTCGGCCCAGCCCCTGGCAAACACGCACCAGAAGGAAACAGACCAGGCACCTCTGAAGTCTGAGCAAACACCGAGACAGAGCCATCTTGTTGACGGGCGAGATCTGGTCCTTCTTGCTGACGCACATAAAGAAACATATATCAGCAAATCTATTAGTGTGCAATCAGAATTTATTAGGGATCCATTCCCATGGAAGAGAACGGGCCTGGCTGAGGTGGGCGGGGAGGGTGGTGACAGGCCGTGGTTCGGGGCAAAGCA